AGCGAATTGGCCAATCAAAACTCTTAAAATCTTTACTATAGCCTTATAGTGAAGTTGAGATTTAGAACATAGAGTTCATTATAACAAGAGTTAACTGTATAATGATATACAATTAAGGTTGTTTGTCTAAACTTATTTTGAATTAAGAAAAATGTTTAAATTATAGTTTTATTAATTTTTTTATTAAGGTTTGATATAATTTTACATTTTTATAAGCTTTGATATAGTTTTATCTTTTCAGAATTTTGAAGATTTTTTAATATAATTTTACTAAATTTTACTTTTTCCATTTAAATGACTTGCAAAATCTTTAGATTTTATCTAATAACCTTATATACAATATAATATTTTATCAATTATATTATCTGTATTGTTTTATAAAATGTAACATAATTTATAATATTATTTTTAATAATTATAAATTGCTAGAAAAATTCAACAATTCTTTTATTAATGAAGTAATTATGATTTAATAATTTTTGATAAATATGTTAGTATATAATTATATTATATAATATATAGATTAAATATAAAATTTCTAATTTATATTTATTTTTCTTTAGTTTAATATAAAAATTAAAGAACTTAATATGTTAATTTTTCAAATTATAAAAAGTAATTATATATATATATAAATATATTTATATTGAGAAAAGTTAATTTTTATCTGAATTTAGTCTGAATTTTATTTTTAAATTTTATCTAAATGGTAACTATTAAGAAATAATAATTCAAATTATTTTAAGTTATAATTTAAATATAATTCAGATATCTAAATTTTATTTGAATTGAACTATTTTGACTAGTATTATAATTTAAAATAGATGCAGTATTTTTACTGTTATTTACTAGAGATATTATCAAATTTATATGCTTATTTAATTGAATTAATGCTAAATTAAAGCAAATTTTAGACTAATCTATAGTTATTTAAATTTTAAATTGATATTAATTTATTTATACAATTGAAGTTAATTAGTAGTTTTTAAGCTGATTTATAATTAAATTTAAATTCTGAATTAATGTTATATTAATACTAAATTGAGGTTAATTTTAGATTAATTTATAATTAAATTTAAGTTCTAAATTAATATTAGATGATTTTGTCTAATTAGCATTAATTAATAATAATTTAAACAATAAAAAAATATGACTAATCAGCCATAAATATTATCAAAATTAGTCTAAATTCAATTATCTAATTTCTAACTGATTTAGGCTATTTAATTAGTATTATTTTTATTTTGAACAGAAAATCTGAACAAGAAGTCTGTTCTAATAATGAAAAAGGATTTTATCTATTGAATAATAACGTAGCTATAGATGATAATAAAATTTTCTTTAATAATAATGGGTTAAGTTATTTACAACTTCTAATTTTCTTAATTATAATTATTTATGACTAAGAACTTTCTAATATGAATATAAATATAAACAATTCATAGATTCTTTTTTTAGATCTTTAAATTTTAAAAAAAGTTTAAATTTGCTAATATTATGATCAACTTATTAAATTAGTTTCTTTAATCTTATTTTAAAAGATATTGATTTAAAGTGATTTAAAATTTTTCATTAATAGCTTATATAATTAAAAAGTTATTAAAATTAAGAAAAAACAAAAACTTTCACAACATATTCTAATTGTAATAAATTATGTTGATAATTTTAATAAATTTAGATAATATGTAAATTTTACATTTAAATATACTTATGTTAAAATTTTAAATTACTCAATATAAAATCAAAATAAATTATGTAGGTTAAAATTATTAAATGAAGATTCTCTATTAAAGTAATTTGCCTTTATTTTTAAAATATTATCTTAATATCTTGATTTATATTAAATGCATTACTTTTAATTCAATAAAATAGATTAGAATTTATTATTATTTTTTTTTCTTTAAATATTTTAAAAGTTTAAGAACCTAGATCCTTCTAATTATCTAAAAAAAAACGATTGAAATATATCTATAAAGTTTCAAAAACTTAGTATATGATGTATGTTTTTTTTTTTTCTTTCTAAATTGCTATTCAATACTTAAATTATATACAGAGTAAGGTTAACTTTTCATTAAAGTTTTTTATATTATTTTATTGTATTTTTATAAATAAAATAACAATTCCTATATCTATTTGGGATTGTTTTATTAAATATTAAAAGTTACAAAAATTTCATATTAAAATTGTGAAAAATTAAGGGTCCTTAAATTTTAAAAAGTGCGAAAATGAAAAATGAAAAAAAAAAAAAAATTATTTTCTACGCGGGGCTGATGACTTATCCAATCATATCCCTCTTTTTTAAGTGAACATTTCGTCTAAGGTATCAATGATTGATGTATATCTACTTGAGCCATGAACGATTATAAACTTATATCAAAACTATGTACAATATAAAAAAAAAAATACCTCATAAATGAGATATACATAGAAAATTTACCATAAAAAATCACGCGTGTACTTATGTATAAAAATTCTTCCTCTTCTCTCCCCCTTCATAATAAAGCAATTACACGGAATAATATTATTTGCCATAAAAATTCAGAGTAAAATCGAATAATGTATTGTTCGTTTATCTTCAAAATTATTTTTATTTGGATTGGCGACGTCGCTTTTCGACAGACTTACCTTTCCCTCCCTCAGAATCAGCATCGTTATCGGAAAGTTCGTGACGACTACGTTTCTCATCATTTTCCGTATGTTCAACTTTAACTTCAGTATCACTAAGAGTTTTTTCTGGTACCGCCGAAGGTGCGGATTCGGGAACAACTTCATTCTTTAGATCACGTGATTCTTCTTTCCGATATCGGGTATCTTTCCTAATCGGAATTTTAATTCCTTGTTTTGCGAATGCTTTCGACAGTTCAGTTGATTCTATTTTAAAAAAGTATGATAAAAAATGTGTATGTTTTTAACCACACAGTTACAATCTAACAAGATCATAACGACATTCGATCACAAGATCGTACCTGTCATTCCGGGAAATTTTTTTGCGGTATATACTTTAAAAGGACCGCTGTACACTTCGGCTGCAACAGTCCCACGACTATTGGTATAACGTTATGGATCAATTAAAAATTTAACTCTAATATAAAAAAAAAAGCATTTTTTTTTTTTTTAATAAACGGTGCTTACCGAGTAAGCAGACCCTTTACGTCACAAAACGAAAATTTTAATGTGAATGATCCTTCGGTGCGGACGGATAGGTCTTGAAAGATGAAATAGATTCCTTGTTGACCCAAGGAATCAGTGAGAACATATGCGGATGAAGTACAATGACCCATAAGATTTCGGGTGCATGAAGGAGCGTTTAACGATAAAATGGAGTTAGGTCCGGTTCCAGTTGATTGAGAGGGAATCGTTGATGGATTGATTACAAGGCTACGCTCATCCATGCAATTTTCGGACCATAAGGCAGCGTGTACGATCATCATAGAATGATCAACGGAACTAATCAAGTTGTTAGAAAATAATATCCTCACGTTAAAAATCTCATTAACTTTGACCACCAAGAAGAATTTTTAAACAAAAGGTATTACCTTTCAGGTACAGAAGTTCCATCGGCAGTAGATACTAGAAGCTTAACGACAGGTGGAGGATCGATTGGACGCCGATCTTTATCCCCAAATCCGCACATTCTTGCTCGGATTGGTTGTTGGGCAACCTCCAATCGGTAACTATATAGAAAAAAAAATGGATGTTGTATATGAGCAAATGAACTTTTTGTGGGACGGCAAACTTTGACCATTCAGGGTAATACCAAACTTTAGTAGTTTTGGTAATTGAAAACAATACAATGTGCGGAACTTTAACAGGAAATAAGTAGCTCTAGTTACTTTGTAATATTATTATACGGAAAAAAGGTCATGACGAAGGGTGAAGAATAAAAACGAAAACACAAGAAAAAAGAGAAAATTTCTACTCATACACTAACTTTATTGATGGGTCTAACAGAAATTGTGAATGCCGATCGGAACTAATTTCCATAACGATAATATCGAAATTATCATATCTTTACTACCAAGGAACAAAGAACAAAAACTTTTTTTTTTTTTTTTTGTCCTCAAAAACGAAAAATATCGGCATTTAAAAATAAAATTAATTGATCGAATTTAGTAATGATCAGTTATATTAAATTTTTGTGTAAACCAAGTAAATATTTATGCAACCTATCCAACAGATCAATTTTTTTATAAATAAAAAAATTCTGATCCGCGTTATCCCAAACTTAATCTAATCCAATTTTTTTTTTTTGAGGGTTTTGCTTTTTTTAATTTGTCGTGTGATCTTTTACTGTTATTTAAATCCTATTTATACATAATTATTATTTGTAAATAAAAAATTTAGTTGACCATTGAATATCAAAAAAGAATATAAAAAAAAATTTTTTTTTTTCTGTGGTTGGAGATTTCATTTGCTTAATTTCTCCAAAATGACTTTTACAACCTTCTCAATATTTTCTGACAATGTTGAAAGACTATTTGATTCTAATACAATCAAATCGTTTAACAAATCATTTTCTCCCCCGGATCTATTGATTATGTGATCATTAGCTTTAATGTAATTAGGCCAAACCATTTGATCAAAATAATTTGGAGGATCAACCCAACGCCTTCCTAATAATTTCTTGCCATATTCCGTTTCCCTTCGTTTCTTAACCGTATCATAATCCGCCTTTAAAAATAATTTGATATCTAACTGTTTGATAACATCAGGATTCACGTATAACAAGAATCCATCGATAAATACAAAATACAATTCATTCTCGGTTTGCATTAAAACATTTTGAACTTTAGCATTTAGGTTCAAAGTCAAATTATCTAATTCGGTAGATTCAACGTTCTTACGTATTTGAACCTTTTTGGATTTAAATGTTTTTACCAGACTTGCAGATGTACGTAACTCACAAAGTGTACTAATGAAAGAATTGAAATCTATCGCATCAGGACATTCTCCATTCGCAAGATTTGTTTCTGGATCGATTGGAAGTTGGTCCTTTTTCTTTATTTTATTTTTTTATTTTTTTTTAGAATTTTTAGGGTGTAAAGGTGAGAAATACGATTTTTAAAAAAAGGGCAAGTACCTTGAAAAAATCGTCTAGATGTAATATTGTCGAATTTGGGAAAATTTTCTGTAACCAAATGGCCAATGTCTGTGTTGGATGAAGGCAATTTTAATATAATTAATAAATAGATAAATATAAAAGATTAACGTTCGCATACCGTTTTACCAGCACAAGATGCTCCACTAATCAAATAAACAGGTTCATATAAACAAAACAAATTAAATTATGCAAATTACAGCTTTCAATGAAGAATTAAAAGGACTTGGGTTCTAATATTTTACCTACCTAATTCCTATTGTAATAATCATTATTGGTTGATTACGATTTAAAAAGAGAGGATTTTCTCGTTAGGATCATCGTCCAAAATGATTTTTACCGAAATACGGAACATACATTTTCCGATTTTCCATGGGAACAATTTTTTTTTGTAATCCCGGTTTTACATGGCTTTGACATTTTTATTAAATCAAGTTCACAACAAGAATTTGATAAATAAAGTTTGGCAAGAAGTATGACTTAACCTTCACTCTTCAACTTGGAATGTTTTTTTTTTCTTTTAAATATTTCCATTCCCAATTACCAATACAAATTTGTGAAGTTCGTACGATCACCAAAATGCATTCTATTCTATAAATAATATGATTTGACAATCATTGTTTTTTTAATAAAATGAAATAAACAATGCAATCTGTTTTAGTTTGGATTTCTTGTATCAACCCATTGATAATTTGTATCATATAATAAAAAGGATCTGGCCAATCAAATCAAACGTCAAATCGGATAACGTCGGGATTATTGATTTTTTGTACCGATTAATGCATTACATTGTATTAAATTTTTTTTTTTAAAAAAAAAAATTTGTCGCTCGAAAAAATTGGTGATGAAATGTTTTGAATCTTGTGGAGGATTATCTTTCCCGATGAACTCTCTCCCATGAATGAATTACTGTAAATTGAAATTGAATGAAAGAATTTCATTGGCTATAATAAATTTTGTGCTAACGAATTGTAACAATAAAAAAAAAATTTCAGTCGATCATTGCTTTTTCTCTTTCACAAATTTTTTTTTTTTTTTTTTTTACAATGTCCAAACTCAATAATGATATCCTTTTCTTGATATTTGAAGAATTACACGTTTCAAATGATTTAAGGTCACTCTTTTCATGTTTATTAGTTAATAGACTTTGGTGTGAGAATGTAGTCCCGGTCTTATGGATGAATCCGTGGAATTATGGAAATTATTTAAATTATCAAAAAAAGAAAAGGTCATTATGTTACGTCATTACTTCCTTTTTACCGAACAATATTAAAAGATATATCACGAGCCAAGGAATGCGATCATTTCCAATTTCACAAAAATCACCCTTATTTGACTACCTGACCTACTGCAGGAGTGTGAACGTAAATGTGATAAACGATATCATTTCCATTGATAGTTGTCCAATTCATAATCGATTTTTTTTACAAGGAATTTACAAACTCTTGATGAAGAAATGTCCAGAGATCAAGTACCTTTATATGAGATCGATCGGTCATCAAATTTATTATCTTCCAGATGTGAAGGCTCGTCTTGGGTCACTGGTCGAATTGGTATGTGACACATCTATTAACCCCACGTACCTTTATGGATTAGCACAAATCTGTCATCAAGTGCAAAGGCTCATCATCATCTTTACAGAATTAAACACCTTTGATGGAATTATAAAGTTAATTGAAGTTCAAACGAATTTAAGATATTTCGAATGGAAAGAGGACTTGAACGAAGATGAATATTTTTATACCGAAGCTTCTTATAAAGGGATTTTAACGGAATTGGTGAAAAAGGTGGATACTATTACTCACCTCATAACAAAGTTTCATTATGATCACCCTCGTTACGCTCAATTACACCTGGAACTTGAATTTCCAAAATTTCATAACCTTGAAATCCTTCAAATTCAATTACATAATATTAAACTTAGCACGATCGTTAGTATAATTGAAAACAATAGGGGAAACCTAAAGAAAATTGTAATCAATGAATATGATATGCATGATGAGAACTTTTATGAGGATTCGCTTCGCCTTATTTATACCATTTATGAAAATTGTCGTTCAATTGAATTTTTGACACTTTCGTTCTTTCCGTCAGAGAGTCATTTTATTAAATTCGAAGAGTTGTTGAAAACTTGTCAAAAATTAAAAGTCTTACTATTAATTTATGATGATGATGATTCATTTCATGACGGGTCAAATTTTGATCCCAGAGAAAGATTGTCAAATATATTAATTAGGTCGGCACCAATTAGCCTAAGAGAGATTGGTACATTTTATGAATTTAGTTTTTCTCTCAAATCCCTAGATAATTTCTTAGAGAGTTGGAGAGGTCGTCCCGCACTTTCGATTCTTGTGAAATCCCGAGAATATTCAAGGGGAGAATATTTGAAAATAATTGACAAACACAAGGATCATGATGTGATTAAAGAGTTTAAGTTTGGTTTTACTAGTGATATTTATTTCCTGGACTACGATATATGGGGATTAGGACCTAAACCTCCCCATTAATACTAATTTAAGCGTGACTTTTCAAATATCTAAATAGAATGAATTCGGCGAGCAAATATGCATACATTATGTATATATGTAACAAAAATTCCAATTGCATAATCATAGTCATAGTCATAGTCATATTAATGGTTTGATAATAATAAAATATCGCACGCATTAAATAAAAATATTATTATTTCCATTCACTTGTCTTCTAGTCTAACATGTGTACGACGCGCATCATTCAACAAAATTATTTTTCCTGGATTCTTATAAACGTGTCTAACGTATTAATTAAACTGAATTTGAGTGATCAAAGGCTTATTATAAAATTTATAAAGACCCATACTTTCTCGACTGGTTTGTATTATTAATCAGGGATTTGTTGAAGGACTTGATATAGTGATTGGATGCTTACTTTTTTTTTGTTTGCTCATTGTTTTGCCTTCATTTGGATAACGAACAGTTTCTATTGGAGAACTATTGGAAATCAAAGAAATTCACGAATTCTGAAAATTTTTAACTGGAATTGTTGAATCAAAACAAGAACTGTTCAGCATGATAATCGACAAAATAAAGTAATGTAATGTCAGCTTTATAGCCAAACTATAGCTAAATTGTTCTGATACTTTTTTGTTTTGAATTTTTGACACAGTACAATATACAAAGGTCAATTTACATAATAATGTTCAAAACAAGTTTATATATTGTGAATCATATTCCGATATATACTTACCACGATTGAGAGTATTGCGTAGGGATTCACTTTTTGGCTTAATAGGGAAGAAAAAAGAAGTTGATGATATTTCCATTTTAACTAAATCAGAAATGATTTAGTTACGTTCTAAGTACTCTAAAAATAAAAAAAAATAAAAAGTTTAGGACATGCATTTACAGAGAAAAGGTTTGTCTGGATAAATGAACAGGTGAATAAACGATTACGTAATTAAATGCGTAAGCACACGTAACCTTCGCGTCCGTCCGTCGAGATGCGGTGTAGTTGTTTATTCGCGTCTTCTCTTATATAATGTGAAAATAACTTGTTAGTTCCTTTATATCTTTTTTCTCATTGTATTGCGTGAACTTTTTATTTTTTTCTTTCTGCGAGAGAACTATAGAAAAATACAAAATAAAGAAATTTCTATTCTCGTCGCATTGTTTAAATTATTGACAGTATACTGTGCATATAATATATTCGATTTATCGAGAATTGAAATTTGACGGGTTATATTCATTTTTGATATTTTTTTTTTTTTTTTTGTTTTTAATATGATGAACGAATGTACTGTACAAGGCGTTTAAAAGCAGGAAAATGATGGGGGGGGGGGGGGGATTTCACTTTAACCGTGTCTATCTTTCGTTAGCATTTTTTTTTGCTTTACTGCAATTTAACTCAAATATGTTTCATGCATAAAATGACAAAAATATTATATTAACAATTATCATTTGGTAATTTGGTAGAATTCATTGTCAAAATTTTGTTTCTAATAAAAAAACAAAATTTGATCACAGATTTTTTTTCCACTATTTCAAAGAACTCGAAGAAAAATATTCAGTTTACGTGAAAAAAAAAATTCAAATTCAAATTCTCAATCATGAATTAAAAAAATATATAATTAACTGATTAAATTTATTAAATTTATTGATTAAAAATGATAGATTTATTTTTACATCGTTATTTGAGCATCCATGAAATAATAATTTATTGATATAAAAAGATAAAAATATATACATATATAGATTGATACATTATTTCTTATCCTGCTCTTTCTCTTTTTGAGGTTTATCATAAAGATCACTCAATTCTTCGTAAGAAATATAATTTACAATGCGAATTTTCTCACGGTAAGTTGGTCTTGGACGGTCCTAAATTTGAGACGTGTGGACGTGTGGATTAGAATCCTAAAGTAGGACGAAATCTCGAATTACGTATAACTCTCCCCGTAATGTGCCATGAAAAATGCATTAAAGGTTGAATACAATTTTTCGTCTTTGATGCACTTTATACGTGGCGCACCTTCTTCTTCAGCTATAATCTCTGATTTCGTTACCTATATGGACGTGTTTGCGAAATGCACGATGTAATAATGAACGCTCTATAAAACGTTTTAGAATATGAAAATTAAACATCTCGTTATGAGATTGGAAAATGTAATTTATCAAGTATATTAATATATAAAACCTGGAAGTTTCGTTTTCTCCTGTAAACCTTCAAAATTAAATAAATTAAATTACTATATATTTAAGGAATTTTATAAGGAATACTTGACTTTTTTACTCACTTTGATCATGATCCAAATGTGTTGCATCTAATTGTTTTATCAAATCACGCATCCCTTGATACTGCACAGGAGGAGCTTCGACGACAATATGAATATTTTTTTCATTGGGTAAATCTTTGAATACCGTTCCAACAGTTTTCATCACGTCTTCTATTTTTACACCGCCTAATATGTCCTTCACAGCTGTATTGACAGTTACATGATCTTTGAGGCGTTCGAACTTGTTTTTTTCACTAATAGAGGTATTAACTTTCCATAATGTGAGGTCGTTAGCATCAACTTTATTGAATTCATTCTTTTTCTTCTCTTTAATCACCTCCTTGAGATCTATAATGCTATCGTTTTTGTTGATGGTAACCTTAAAGATATTCTCGGGATTTTTTCCTTTGACAAGACAAAGGAGAGTAAACTCGGACATGATTTTGATTTCCGTTATAAAATTAAGACGAATATTTTTTTTTCTCTTTTATATTACTTTTAAACACGAATTTTACGCAAATGATGTAATCTTATAGTACATAGTTAATACACATAAAGATTGCGTCACGATGAAATTATTATGTAAATTTTAAATTTAAATTGTAACGTTAATTCAATAAAAGAAAAAAACGGGGTTTTTTTGTTTATCATTTAATTGAGCTTTTGATTATTCGACAAAAGTATTAAAATTATTGCTAACTTTAATTTTATTTATTCATAAAAACTTTATACCATTTAGAATTCTTTAAGAATTTTGGATATAAAGTATGTTTACAAACCTTTTTTAAAATATTCTATAGATATTCAATTGGATTTAAGTCAGATGGCTTTGCAGACTATAAAATATTTGAGATTAAATTATCATAGTTTTTATCTATTGCTTAATTGCTTTGCCTGATAATCTAATATATAACATCTTAAAAATATACTTTAACTAAGTTTCTAACTCATCAATAAAAGGCAAAAGATTATTTTCTTAAATTTTAATGTATACAAGTCCAATCTTATTTTTCATAAAATACCTTTATATAATTATGTCTTATTTTTCTGATTTTATTGTAAAAATTAAACAATTTACATCATAATTTTCATGAGGATGATACCAAATATAATGATAAGTATTATTTTAAAATAATAAAAAATGAGATAGAATGAATAAAAATATATTTAATATTTCATCTGCTATAAACATCTTTTTAAAGACCAATTATTTTACCTTATTCAAATTCAATAAGTTCTTAAGTTTTTGGTATTTAAAAATATATAAATACCTAAATATTAAAAGCTTGTAACTATGTAAAAAAATATTGGTTCATTTTTATGTATTTCATCAAAGTTATGATTAATAAAATTATACTAATTTGAGTAAGGATAATCATATAGTCCAATACTTTTGATTAGGGAGTGTACATATATAAATTGTATAATTTTATATATTTTACATATTATATAGTGATGTTTTATTAAAAAATATATTTTTTTCAAATGAACTTTTACAATTCAAATTTTTATATTAAATCGTTTTAAAATTTGTTAAAAGTAATTAGAATTTATATATTTATTTATAAGAAATAGTAAATTTAAGAATCAAAAATTATGCATTATTTAATTAATCAAGAATATTATAATTGATAATAGAAATAAGAATATTTATATTATAATCAAATATCTATTCTATTACTATGCATATATTCCTTAAACCTAATACTATCAATTAAAATTTTTTATGTACATTCTAATGATATGTTATTATCAAAATCATTTTGAATTAAATGTATAACTATTAATACTAAATACTAATATAGTTAAACTCTTATATAGTCACACTGTATATAGTCATACCTTTATATAAAAATTCATTTTTGCAAAATGGATTTAAAGTCTATTAAATTACCTCTCTATAGTCACAAATCAGTTATAGTCACTATCATATGTAAATTATAAATGTACATGTTATTTCTATTAGAAAATTAACCTCTTTATAATCACATATCAAAAGATTTAATTAGTTATAGATCAGAATATAATAAAAGAGATTTACAATTGATAATCAAATTTTAAATGTAATATGTTTAAAATGTAACACTTTAATTATAATACTAGGAATTTGTAGTAATAGTTTTTTCTTAGAATATTACAATATTAAATAAAAAGAATAATATTTAAAATATCATGCTTTTATAAAAAATACCAAAATGATTATTTTTCGATAAACCCTTTCTTACATTTATATGCTTCACTTTAATCCAAATAATAGATTTTCCCTATAATACCTGCTGACCGTCCTATAAAACACTTTTCAATAATAAGCATTAACTTCAAACATCAAATTTATAAATGAGTAAATAATAATAAAAATAAAAAATATGAAGAAATTGCCATCTATTTTAATGAAAAAATCTAAATTTAAATATTAATTGTAGTACTGTATCAAAGATATTATTATAAAATGAAAAATGTAATGCTATATTAGAAATTGAAGGTTTTCTAGTACTTGACAAGACTATAACTTTATGATAGAAAGTTTAACAGTAGGCGGTATGATTTTAACAGATTCATTAATAAAAGAAAAAACAAGATTTTTTGTTAATGCATTTGGTATATAAGATAATAAGTTATTATTCTCTAATGGTTGATTTAAAAAATATAATAATATCTATTGGTATTATATATATAAAGAATATAAAAATACACCAATAGCATCTCTACTAGAAAAAAGAATAAAGCTTTGTTAACTTTTGAGCTAGTACATTCTTGATAAAATTTATAATATTGATGAGACAGATCTTTATTATCAGATGTCTTTAAATCAAATACTTGTAACTAAGCCAGTTTATAGTAAGAAGAAAGATAAAATATAGATTATGGTACTTTTTAGTGTAAATGTAAGAAAGGGTTTATCGAAAAATAATCATTTTGGTATTTTTTATAAAAG